CCCCCATCTCCGAAATGGGCGGTCTTTCCCGCGTGGTACCCACTTAGGACCCCGCCAAAGTTTTTTACAAGTAAGCTGCTAACTCGCGAACCAGAAAAGCTAGAGAGCTGAAATTTTACGGGAATGTTCCCCATCTAAGTAGGTACTAATGGGCTCAAACTCAATCCCCGGGTAAGCGTGGCACCCGCGTACGGGCCTGCCAAAATTTTTCCTGGACAAGTTCATAACTTAGGGATGTGGGATGCAAGAAGACTGTAACATTAAGGAGGTGTTTCTCGTCCACATTAGTCTCAACGAGGTCAAACTCAGCCCTCGGTCATGCATGATACCTACGCACGGGCTCACCAAAGTTCTTCTCGGGTATGCTCATAACTCGAGAACCTGTGAAGCTAAAAGACTGTAGTTTTAGGAAGATGTTCCCCGTCCAAGTAAGTCTCAACAAGCTTAAACCCAGGCATCGGGTATGCGTGGTACTCGAGTGCGGGCTCGTGAAAAATTTTTTGCAGTAAATTGCTAACTCAGGAGCCAGGAAAGCTAGAAAGCTGAAATTTTAAGGAGTTGTTTCCTGCCAGTTTTGGCAGCCAGTCTTAATTTGTTTAACTAAAAGGATCTGCCGAAAAAACCGGTGCCGGTAGCGACAAAAACTGCGGGGAACTATGCAAAGAAAGCATCATTGCACGGACAGCCCGTGCATTGGCCAGTTATTTTTCTTTGTACAGTAAGGTCTGGAGAAAGCTGTTCCTGCACTACGCGGCTCCACTTACGCGAATTAGGCATGTGTCAGTGGTATGAGGAGACAGCGATAAAAAAATAACTTTTCCGAACAGCAGACTGAGAAGAATTGCTTATTATCCATTATCGCCACTGTTATCTGCACTGTTATCACCATCCTTACTTCCAGGTTGATTCTGTGCGCTTCGGAGGATTTGGCCCGGATGGTTTGGACGCGCTAGAAGCAGTTAGTCTTTGATCAGAACTGCTTTTCATGTAATTTTGGGTAAATGCGTATTCTAGTCTTTTAAAAAGATTAACTGCTTCCAGGGTGTTGGCCGATTTTACCATGCTGGTGGGCGAGCTCCTCATCACGAGATTACAGCCTTTTCGTCGAGCGTCAGCAATTTCCCACGTACTGTAATTATGCCTCAGGAACGCTACGTGGAGCCATTTAGTCAGTCACTCTCGCTTGGTTAGTTCAATTTAAAAGATTCGGAGTCATCCCAGGAAAGAAGCTTTTAAAACACAAATGAATGCATAGGAATCGAAAGGCAAAAACCAACGCGAACGAAACGGCATAGCATTTTGCTGCTGTAAACGGCTTTTATGCGTTTTTGCATTTATGCAAATGCAAAAACGCATATTGCCAAGAGGCTGTCTGTGTGTGTGTATGTTCGTACTTTTTGTCGCCCATTTCCAACTCGAGAACTAGGAAAGCTAGAAGGCTGAAACTTCGGGAGTATGTGCCCACACCATGTGCAACTCTCCCGTTTTAATA